CTGTACTAAATGAAAGAGGTAATAGATTCCTTGACCTTCTGGGCAGCTGTGACCTCACTCTATTGAACGGCAATGTCATTGGTGACATTTTTGGTGAGCTCACCTGCTATCAGTACAACGGACAAAGTGTCGTTGACTACATAGCAGTTTCACCGAGCATCAGGAATATGGTAAAACGGTTCAAAGTTCTTTCCTTAACTAACCTATCAGATCACAGACCTATCCTCTGTCAACTCTCAGTTAGAATCCAAATGATAGCCGCTGAATTAATTCAAGAGCTTCATCAAGATGCACCTAAAAGACCGAAATGGGATGGAGATGCAACGGCCCAACAGTTTACTGATAATCTTAACAAGGCCGAAATAACAAATCAGCTATTGGATATTTCGACCTCAACTCTTGATACAGTAGAAAACATCTACTCCACGAACAAGAAGTTCGTTCACATTCTTGAAAGCGCACTTTGCACCGATCAACCCTCAAACTGTGCCAATAGTGAGCAAAAGATAAGGTGTTTTTCTAAAAAGAAACGACGCAGTAAACTCCGCCCAAAACAAAAGTGGTTCGATGCTGAGTGCATTACAACTAAGCGAGAGCTTAATATTCTAACAAGGAAGTACGGGAAAAACCCCTCGGACGCCCTTCTACGAATCCGCTTCTACTCTAGGAAGAAGGACTATAAAAAATTGTTAAAAAGGAAAAAGGCTGTTTTCTTCCAAGAGTTAAACCAGGAAATTCTGCAGGAAAATAAGATTTCGTGGAAGAACTTGAAGAAACTGAAGAAGTTTAACGAAAAACCCTCCAAGCTGGACATATTCGACATGGCGAAGTTCTACCAATTCTTTCTGGATCTCTACAAAAAGAAGGATACAAACTTCCCACAGAATAGAACAGTGACTAAAGCAAATGAACAAATAATGAGCATACTAAATGATGAGATATCATCGAAAGAGGTTGTACATGCGGTGAAAACACTTAAGAACGGTAAGGCAGTTGGACTAGATTGTTTACTCAATGAGCAGCTTAAGTCTGCCGCCCAGAACCACTGCGCTCTCTCAGTGTTAGTTAAGCTCTTTAATGGTTGCTTGGACCTTGGTGTCTACCCATGGAACACTACGATTGTGAGCCCACTCCACAAGAAAGGATGTATCTACGACCCCGACAACTACAGAGCCATTGCGATCGGGAGCAACCTTGGTAAACTTTTCGCGACAATCCTATTGGACCGTTTGCTAAAATTCAGGAAGGAACATTGCCCGGACACAGTAAACCAGCTTGGCTTCTGTAAGAATGCTAGAACTGTGGATCATCTGTTCACCCTTTCCACTTGTGTAGACAAATACGTGAATAACAAAGGACAAAGACTCTACTCTTGTTTCGTGGATTTTCGCAAAGCTTTCGACTCCATCAGTCGTGAAGCTCTTCTGTACAAGCTCTCAACCCTTGGTATAGATGGAAAATTCCTAAAATGTCTAGAACATATGTACAAGAATTCCAAAGCTAAGATCAAGCTGATCGCTAAAATATCAGACTCATTTGATATTCTTGCAGGTACGGAGCAGGGCCACCCAATGAGCCCCGAACTATTCAAAACTTACATCCATGAACTTTCGGAACGACTGAACAGTGTTCAAGACATCTCAAGTCCATTGCTGAATGAAACTATTCTGACCCACCTCTTGTGGGCAGATGATCTTGTCCTCCTCGCACTTTCGAAAGAAAGTCTTCAGGTCATGATCTCTGAACTTGAGTCATTCTGCAGAGAATGGGGGCTCACGGTGAACACCAAGAAAACCGCCATCATGATTTTTAATAAAAGTGGAAGGCAACTCAAAGAGAGTTACGGTTTTCAGTACATGGGAGCAACAATCCCATCAGCGAAAACATATTGCTATTTAGGGATCACCTTCTCACTGTCGGGCAGCTTTAAGACAGCACTAAACCTTCTACGACAAAAAGCTCTCCGGGCATACTTTGGACTGAAAAGTGAAGTAGACCTTAACAATATATCCAAGGTCGCAGTTCTTAAACTGCTCGACTCCCTCATACTGCCAGTTGTATCGTACGGAGTGGAAGTCTGGATCAGCAGTAGCTCAGGAATAAAGGCGTTTGCCAGCACAACTGACAATACGAAGCAATCCCCACTGGCAGGCATTGCAGCTGACCCATTCGAAAGAATGCACCTCGCCATCCTTAAATGGACCCTTGGAGTTGGCAAATCTACATCCAACGCAGCTGTTTGGGGAGACTGCGGAAGAACCCCTATTGTAGTTCGATATGTTAAACAAGTCACCGATTTCCATAATCGCCTTGCAAGACTTGAACTAGAAGACTCACCAGCCCTAGCCAGGCACGCTTTTGCTGAGCAGAAGAAACTTGATTTAGGTTGGTTCAGAGCACTGGAATCAATGCTAATGATACTCGACGAGAACAAACTTGAACATCAACTTTACAACCCATTGTTATGTCAGGAAAGGGCACATAACCGATTTATCAATCTATGGGAAACAGAAAGACAAACCAATAAGAAGCTTACGTTCAATAATAAAGTTAAAGGTGCTTTCGAGCAGGAGCCGTACCTCACGCTACCGTCGAGAACTGGAAGCAACTTAGTGGCTAGGATCCGAATGAGCGGACATAAGCTAAACGTAGAAACTGGAAGATATGGGAGCAGAACTGGAAGTCAACATCACAGAATTTGTGAATTCTGCAGCGAAAAGTCCATGATGGAGCTCTTTGTTAATCTTCCTTGTGTTGATCCGATAATAGAAGATGAAGAACACTTCCTTAGAACATGTCCCAGGTACCATTCCAGTAGGACTAACATGAAGGAGCCCACAAAGTCATTACTATTTCATGACATGAAGAGCCTCTTTCTACCGGAGCACATAGTGGAATTCACCAAGTTCGTCGCTCAGCTGTGCAGAACACGATTCCCTATAAAGAAGAAACACGAACATTAGTGTCTCAGTACGGGATATCACATTTCCTCCACACAGTGGCGTAACGTTACTTTTTGGCGCCCCCCCGCTCAACTCAAAAAGCGCCCCCCTTTCTGGAGCGCGCTCGCTTCGCTCGCTAGATTTGTCCGAGGGCCGTTGCCATCACAATTTTTTAATTTTAAAACGGAATATAAATGTGTGCCAATAAAATTTGAATTTGGAAAGTGAGAAGCCGCGCGCAAATAATTTTACATGTAAGCCGCGCGATTTAGTAATTTAATCGCCAGTAATTTGCGCATGATTGTTTTCGCGTTGGATAAAATATTATCTCGTGATACCTGTTAACGGTTGTGATTGGACTATGCAGAGTGACGACGCGTTATGGTAATAATAAATGTATCATGTACTGGACACTAATAATAAGTCGGTTACACAATGTCAGAATCTTGTTCGCGTTTCATTGTCGTTTGACATTAGACATTACATTCGAAACAGCCGTTAGGTAATTTGTCATTTGTCTGATTAGTGGTGTTACTGTTAATTTGTGATAAACAATGAAACAATTTTGTGAATTGTGTGTTTCATATTGTTAGTGTAACGAGGAGAACTGTTTTAAGCTGCTGTACATGTTACAAAAATTTATACTATATTAAGGTTACCGGTTGTTCATGTAAATTGTAATCATCAATGGGGTAAAATATCAAATATGCCGTACTTAGTTTACGCGAACATTATGCGAATGTATGTTATTATAAATATCCTCACAGCTGGTCGAATATGTAGAACTGCATTGGGAGTCTGGGCGGTGTACAATCAATATTTACTACTGAGTTGTTTTAGCAGTTTCTACGTTTAGCTCAGTCTTTATTACGAGGAACTGATTCAGTGGAGATAAGTCAATTTTGTAGGACTCATTTTAGTCGAAGTTTAGACTTTAGGCAACGATGCCGTTTCTTACTTGTCCGTTGTCGCAGGTTAATATTATTCATATGTTATTGATAATGATAACTGTGTTCAATGAGGAGTGTTGGTTGGTGTCTTCTAGATGTGTGTAGTCTGTAGATGATAACATCGATAGAATAATACTGAATATTATAGGTACTGATCATGATTGGTAGTACTCTTAAACTTGGTAGTACTCTTAAACTGTTTGCACTTCAGTGTTGAGAAACACTGAGAAATTATGTAATGTTGGTTGTTAGTTAATTTCGTTCTGTATTGAATTGGTAAGTTTGTCAGAAACATGATGTAGCTAATAGGATATAATAGAACGTTACTCGTTTTATTAAGCAAATCGTCGAGGAAACAAATATTACACACTGAGTGTAACAGTAAACTAATGTATGGGACACACCTTAGAAACACTTAATAACTGATTTATAACCGATCATATCCTTGACGCTCCATTGGGACAGTTACCATGGCAACATACGGGGGATTCGGGGAATGGTTAAAGAATTCTACTGACAAGCTTGATCAGTAAAACATTACTGCCGCTAGATTACAAGTATGCCACGTCATTTCAAGGCAATGAGATAGATCAGTGCACTTTATACGCATTCAATTATAGCATTACTTGGTTAGCAAATCACGTGATATCTCTGGAATTATCACCATGGTAACTGGGTAGGTGTTCAGACTCCACAGATGTAATATATAAACTGACCTCTTCGTTTTAACATCCATGTTCAACGGATAAATGGAGCTTAAATAGTTGGTACGATCAAATGTAATCTTTACACAAATGTTTTCGTGTTATTAAGCAAATCGTCGAGGAAACAAATATTACACACTGAGTGTAACACTAAACTAATGTATGGGACACACCTTAGAAACACAATTAATGTAGTGATATACTTAATAACCGATTTATAATCGATCATATCCTTGACGCTCCGTTGGGACAGTTACCATGGCAACATACGGGGGAATGGTGAACTTATATATTATACAATTGAAAAGTGCGTGTGTGAGCTGTACTCACTGTACTAATTGTCCATTATCTAATGCTGTTAGCGAGTTTTTATGGTAGTATGGACTATGGTTGTTACCAGATGATGATGTTAAACATTTAAATGTATACTTTTCTATTTATTGGTAGTTGTTCGAATGATTATTGTTATTTGTTAGAACTTGCAGTTGTAGCCGACTTTGTTTTGCTGCCAGAAGTAGTAATGATTTGAAATGGCTGTTGTATGGTGTCACAACTAGTAACTACAAAGAGTGACCTATTTTTGTAGGAATTGTTTCCGTACGTTTAAAAAAAATGTATTAATGAACAAACCTTTACATTAATGAAATTCCCGGATATAGCATGTGTTTATATGAACTACATGCCGAATGCCGATATGTGTGGAGTGTGGTTGCTCACTGTATATGCAGAGTTGGGATGTGACTGAAAACATTGAAGTAAGTATTGAGGTTTATTTTGAATCATGTAAATAGCTTTAATATTGTGGCATCTGTGGAGTTATGTTAGGTATTATGCCATCAGCCATGTGGTGAAATTTGTAGAAGGAAGTGGTTTACAGATTTATTTGTAAATTAACATCAAATTTCCCAAATCAGGTTTCGTTACCGTTGGAAGATTTCATGTACATAGTACATACTATGCAAAATGTGGAGTCAATTGTACGCTGACGAAAGCTGCAAAACAACTGAGCCAGCTCCACAAGCACGACCTGACTGAAGCATTAAATCTTATTTGTCTGTGAATATTTCGCTACGTAGCTTGTCAGCCTTCAATTTGATTTTGGTGCCAATCTGAATAACTGTACAGCCAGTGCTGAAAAATCCTTTAGCAAACTGAAGCTATTTAAAAACTCCGAAGCACAATGGGTAACTAAACGATAGATTAAGCAGTTTACAGTTTAGCCATCATCTCAATCAAGAACTTAACAGCAAGACAACTTGACAAGAAAGAGCTGGCCCAATTTGATGCTCTTTCCAAACCTAAGAGAGTTGCTTGGAATATGAACTGTACGGTAATGTAAATATTATGTAGTATTGAAAAATGTAAATTGATTTTTATTTCCATATTTTTATCTGTTATTGCTACCTGTTAGATGTTGATGTTTTATTTGTGAAGTATCATTAATACTACAATAAGTGACTGCCGATGAAATTGGGATCTAAGTTAAAAGTAAACATTGATATCTCAAATTGCCACAAAATCAAAACATTCTCACGCGCGAATTTTGTATACCACGTTTGTATAAAAATTGCAATATCGTTATCACTTACCACGTGTTTTTAGCGCGCGCTGGCTGCTTGCTTTGCACTATATTTAATTTTAGAATTTTACAAATCTTACAACAGTAGCACGATATTTAACAACTTTTGGACCTTATATACCAAGTATTTTATTACCAGGGGCGCCATATTTCTAGGGGGCGCCAAATTATGAGGAGGGGCGGCAGAATTTTGGCGCCCCCCTCTCACGGCGCCCCCCCGCATAGCGGGGTCTGCGGGGCCTTACGTTACGCCACTGCCTCCACAGCCCCTTCATTTTCACTTTTTCTTTACACTCATCAAACACCTTAATGGTAACGGATTTTCTATTTGGATTTCGGACTTTGACCTTTAGCTATGCTGATCTGACATTATCTCACTGTAATATAAATCTATTTTTTGTAAACCTTGTAAACCTTGTAAACCTTGTAAACCTTGTAAACCTACCACTGAAAAACCGTACAATTGCTCTGAATCAGAATCTGAATACTCCTACAATTCAGAACAAAAATCAAACCTAGTGACGCAGATTACGCACATCGGCGAAAAACCGTATCAGCAAAATGACATAGGAAAAAACTCACATATTTTTCATGAAAACGATCAGGCTTCGAATAACTTTCAAAAAGGTAGTGTTGGAGAACCCATTTTTGTGAAGCCTCTACCTTTCGTAAAGCCTCTAACATTTGTTAAGCCTCTGAACCTCGCTCACACCTTTCTTTCCAGTTCCAGCTTCCCTCCCAGTTCCTTCTCCAGTAACCAACCAGAATCTTACAAGTCTCACCCTGCAGCTCCTCTCACCTTCTCACCTGGTGAATCTGTTTTCACACCTGCTCTATCCACTATCCCACCTACCTACTCTACATGACAATGTTTCCTTCCCCCTTTCATATTTCCTGCCAGTACAGCGACCATGATGGGGCGTAAATCGGAATGTATGTGTATCGTGAAGAACATATTTAGTTAATGTTATTTTTAATAAAACTAGTTCATCTCCATTTATTTTCCAACCAGTTATGAATCATTTGTTTACTTTTAACGGCATCAATCAGTTATAAACACAGCTCCGGATAATTAAATAATCAACCGGGATAGAATAATCAATTCTAATAATCCCGCTGTTTTTTCCGCTTAATAAATAACCCCGGCACAGTTTCTATAATCCCTCCCCGCTCTGGTTCAACTATATTTGGTTCGTTTTGATATTCCCGTGGGAATTCATCCGCGCACTGTCACGTGTTTTGGTGACGCGTATCACGTGACTAAATACTACGACGCGCATTGGCCAAAATTTTCACATAAATTGCAACCACTATAATAAACAAAAAAATAATCTCCGCAAATCTCCAGAATGAGATTTATTTTTTTAACAATTTAAATGAGCTCTTATAAAAGTGTTCTGAATCTTACAATAGTCATAGTGAATAGACAACATTGTCATTGTTAGGAATTTGTTTAGAAGATGCTTTAGGGAATCTTCGTTCATGAGCTTTGGTATAAGGAACCTTTCTAGCTGTCTCCGATGGTTAAGTTGTAGGGTGTGCGAAGATCTGTCCAATATTTAATTGACGATGTCAATTCATGGCAGCTCGGCACGGCACAGTAGCGCATTTCGCCGATCTAGCCTTATTGAGAAGCCTTATTGAGTGCGCGGCGCGGCACAGTAACGCATCGCGTCGCACTACAATCGATCCAATATCAGAAAAGAGTTGACACACGTTGCATGCCACTTTTCGCGCGCGAAGCGCGCGCCGCCAAATTTTCTGATATTTGGGATACGATACATGTACGTATCAAGTTAATTGACGATGTCAATTCATCGCAGCTCGGCGAGGCACAGTAGCGCATTTCGCTACAAGTATTAAGAGAAGAGTAATGTTTTACTTTGTGTTACTGGGCGGCGCTCAGCCTGTCATTCCGCTGAACCCATATGTTTATGAACATGTTTATTAACATAATAGCCTGCATAGGGTCCCCAGGTAAACTTTTTGGCTTTTACTAATTCGCTCGCCCAAAAATTTCACGTGACATAAATGATAAACCCCAATCCTAACCCAGAAACCCTTACTGGATGGGGCCTAACTTTGAAAGTAAAAGAGTTAGAGACTTGTAAAATATTCGTTTTGTAAAAGTAACGTTACCTCCCCAGGAGGAAAATTTAAGACAACGTCGCGTAGTTGTTGAGTTATCTCAAAATCTCCAGAAAAATCCCATTTCGGGCCGATCAAAATTTTGCAACTTTAACTTTGCGGATTCCTGTACTCCGATTGGCTGAATTGTGTCACGTGGTAGCTGCTTGAACATTGGACACAGGAGGAGCAAAGTGCAAGGAAACTGCCACAAACTGCTACTAGGGGGTGCACCATAAAAATAAACTTGCTCGGATTTAAAAAATTTGTGTACCATTGTTTTCTAGAGACTGTGAGAATTTTCACAGTACCAAATTTGTCATACCTTTTTGGAAAGATCAGTGAGTTTCGTCTATGATTTTATAATAGCTTTACATTTTACAATTCATGAATCCAACTTATCTAGTTCAACAAGATACGTCTTTAGAAATAATCATCAAATATGTCGTCAAAAAGTTAAAAAATACGTCAAATCTCCGGATCTGATCAAATTCTATTTGTCTAATTCCTCAAATTCCTAACTTTTTACCGTCAAGAAGTAAACATATTATCTGTAATTTTGTATCTTCTCACCGTACTAACACCGTCATAAGAATGGAGAGACGGAGAGTGGATCTTGCGGAGAATAGGCATTAACTTAAATAGTTTTGATTGATTGATTGAGGAGCACTACCCGAAGGCATTACTCGGCACTAACGCCTTTAAATCTTTAATTACAATCAAATATAAATATATGCACACAATGTATAAAGTATTAATAATGTATAAAATATGATTATGCTATTAGCAAATTTAAATAGTACTATTAAGAATTTTAAATAACTCTTATCTCTTGACAAAAATTTAGAACAGCGACACAGGGTCTGAAGAATGCGCGGTGATATTTTTATCTTTTAAAAGTTGTAAATGACAGTGAAATTGGGCGGTGTCGATAGCATTGTAAAAAATGCTCGAAGATAGTCATATTTTGTTATGAGGTTAAAGTTTTGTTGCTCGTTATTATGATCAACGTATGTTGTACCAAATTATTTAAATTTCTAAAAGTACGAAATTTGAGTTGTCCCAGTCCTTGTCATCCGGTTTATGTGCTTGTGCAGTAAGCACATGCTTGTTGACTGTAGACTTGAATGAATTTAGGAATTTGTCTTGTAGGCAAGTGGTGACATATTTGATGTCCTTGTTAATAATGTTGACTGTTTGGTTATATAACTTAGGCCCAATGTAAGAAATGCTCTTGTCTGAATTACATAAACGGTTAAATGGTACTGCAAAGAACTCAGGTTCTCTTCTAGGTGCGTTTAAGTTTGAAACAGTGAACATTCTTATAATATTTGGTGGTGCAGTGTTAGAATAAACTTTGTGCATTAAGCATAATATACATTTAGCTATCACGTCTAGGTGCCATATTTGATGGTGCGCGGCTTTTGGAGCAAAATTAGTTGTAAAAGTCGCGTAATTTGACCAAATTTGACCAAATTCGTTGATTTTTGTCGTATTATTTGGATATATCTTCAGTTTCTTGAATGAGATCATTCTGAAAATTGGTGACGACCTTCCAATAGGGCTTTCACAACTGTCCGAAAAATTTGGTAGATATCGGGGTTGATATAGTGATCAAAATGGGGCAAAATACGCTGCTTTTAGCTGTAACATAATGTCTGATGGTTGGATATGCTTTAAACTTTTCGGACACTTTCCTTGTAAGTCTATATGAGTAAGCTTGCCAATTTTTGTTGCAATTAGAGGTCGGGAAGGATACTTAATATCTATTTGTTTGAAGAAAATTGTGCTGGCCGAAATTAGCACTAAAAAACCATCCTACCGTCGGCACGCGCGGCTCACTGTCGATGGTGCACTACCTACTGCTACAAACTGCTACTAGTAGAGGTTCTTACGGGCAAAAAGACGTGTTTTCTGCTACGAGTTTAGAGACCTAACCGCTAATTGGACACAATAGTATGATGTCTAAGGATCGATAATATGTTAGGAAGTATAAATTTTGCCTTATTAGTCACGTTAGGTAGTGCGCCATCGACAGTGAGCCGCGCGTGCCGACTGTAGGATGGTTTTTTAGCGCTAATTTCGGCCAGCACAATTTTCTTCAAACAAATAGATATTGAGTATCCTTCCCGACCTCCAATTGCAACAAAAATTGGTAGGCTTACTTAAAGACTTACAAGGAAAGTGTCCGAAAAATTTAAAGTATATCCAACCATCAGACATTATGTTACAGCTAAAAGTAGCGTATTTTGCCCCATTTTGATCACTATATCAACTCCAATATCCACCAAATTTTTCGGACAGTTGTGAAAGCCCTATTGGAAGGTCGTCGCCAATTTCCAGAATGATCTCATTTAAGGAACTGAAGATAAATCCGAATAATACGACAAAAATGGTCAAATTTGGACGAATTTGGTCAAATTACGCGACTTTTACAGCTACTTTTGCTCCAAAAGCCGCGCACCATCAAATATGGCACCTAGGCGAAACTCACTGATCTTTCCAAAAAGGTATGACAAATTTGGTATTGGGGAAATTCTCACAATCTCTAGAAAACAGTGGTACAAAAATTTTTAAAATCCGAGCAAGTTTATTTTTATCGTGCACCTCCTAGTCACGTGCTATACCAATGCGCGTTTTAAACTTTGACAGTCTATTACTCTAAGGCAAATAGAGTAATAGGCAAAATGATAGTCTTTTTATCACACAGAAGTGTGGTGTCTCATATGAGTCAACTTTAAAAACATGAAAAAACAAAAAAATAAAAATTAGAAAAAATTTTAAAAAATTGAAAAATATAAAAAAATTAAAAAAATTAAAAAAATTAAAAAAAATAAAAAATTAAAAAATTTTAAAATTAAAAAAAAAAAAAAAAAAAAAAAAAAAAAAAAAAAAATAAAATAAAATAAATAAAATAAAATAAAATAAAAAATTATTATTAAATCAAAGTTCTAAACAAGGGATAGTTAAAAAACAACGCCCGAGTCTAATCTTTCCCTAAAACAAAAACTAAAAATTAAAAACTTCATTGCAATTTCCGCCAATATCTCTTGTCATAACTCAAATTACGGAGATAATGCAGGTCAAAGATATTATTCAAATAAAGATTTCTTTTACATAAATCATGCACAATCAGCGAGAAAAGATTGCTTTGGGGTCTTCCTCTTCTCCCTGGTAAGTCCAGTGTATTGATGGCAAAAATGAGGGAAGAAAACGCTGGTCCGTCAATAGGACCCCGCAAAACATGTCCTAACATTCTCCACCGACAACGGGCCACTTTTTCTGACAATGGTTCAGCATTGCAGCGTTTATACAAGTTTTTGTTGGAGATGACTCCTGGGTACTTTATATTCAAAATAGTGCGAAGATGTCTGCGGTGAACAACATCTAGTTTTTCAAGGAATATTTTGGGGACGGCCCAACAGGATGAGTTGTACATAAGAACCGATACGACTAAAGCATTATACAGTATTAGACGTTTGTTTAGGGGCAGTTTATCACTCCAGGCCTTCTTGTAATTGTTAAAGGCAGCATATCCCAGGTTTATGCGACGCTGAATATCAGCTTTGCTACACAAGACGGACCCTAGAGTGATACTTTTCCTCCATGCTTCATTCCCCGACACTAATTTTCCATCATTGTCGACTTCACCCGTACTAGCTAAATAAACATGAGTGAAGTCCGTTTTGTCTTCATTGACAAAGAGGTTCCATTTCTCGAGTATAGCTGTTGCCTGGGGCAAAATAGCTCTCAAGTTGTCTTCCTCTTCATCATTGAAGTCAACATCATCAGCATATTCAGTGTCAAGTGGAAGGCCAGCAATAGTAATCGGGGGAATCGGCCTATCTAAACTGATTGTTATAGTCCATCTAAGTTCATTCAAAGCACCAGCCAAGACAAGGGTGAACAGACAGCCGGATAGACAGTCACCCTGGAAAGCTCCAAGGAGACTTAAAAACTCAGCTGAAAGAACTCCATTTACCTTCACCCGTAGCTTTGTGTTGGACAACAACAACCGGACAATCCTCAGCTCATCCTCAGTACAGCCACACAGTTTCAGGAGTTCAAGAATCGTAGTCCGTTTGATCGTGTCAAACGCACTAGACATATCAATGCCCATGCGATGATACTCCCATTTCTTCCTTTGGACAACTGACAGTAGAACTCGCTGACACCAAACAATATCAGCACAAGAACGAGCGCGTTTATATGCACACTGCCATGGACCAGTGAAGGCGTTCACTTTTTCTTCTATCCTTTTAAGAGTAGCCATAGACAGAATTTTTCTGGCTGCATTGGACAAGGTGAGTGGACGTAAATTCTTCAGAGGACCAATAGGTTTTTTTGGCTTCTGTAAGGGTGTTATAGTAGCCTCTCCAATGGAAATGGGAAAAGTATGTGTCTTGAAACAACTGTTTATGATTCCAGCATAATGTTCATGGACTGTACTATTAGAGTACTTAATTAGCTCGTTGGGTATTCCATCGGGACCATTTGCCCTCCCATTTTTCAAGCTAGAGCCCTGCGGTTTCTTTGCGTTCGCGACTATACCCATTTGTGATTCCACTGTGTGGACGCAGGTATGACAAATCATATATTTTCGTAAAGTACATCCTCTGACTAGGAAATCACAAGTTTAATCAGTTCTGGGGACTGTTCCTGGACAGAGTTATGACAGTTTAAAGCTTCCGCGCCGCGCAATAGCCCCAAAATGGCTAAAAATGTACACCGTCGTAGAATAACTTTGCGAAGGGAATGCGCGAGCACGAGAATATGATAGTTAATATTGATTTTCGGCCCCCGGAACGATAGCTTAGTTGGCTAAGAGGGCGATTGACCGTGCTAGCTGAGGGTTCGAATCCCGGTCTGACCTTTAATTTAGTTTGAACTGAAATAAGTTGTTTACTATTTTCATCAAAAAGCTTCTCTAGTGTTAAGTTAATATTGATTAGTTAATCATATTACAAGTTGAACTATAGGATGAAATGCATAATTAGAAATGGGAAAGCAGCTATACGCAAAGCGTCATTATGCTACAATATTATAGTAATAACATTGTTTGTCTCAGATTATTTTTAATACAAGAAGCGACCAGCATCGCATCTTCATCGATTAGTTCGGAGTCGTCGCTACATTGATTTTTAATTGATGCTATATAGCAGATATGAGCAGCTTTAATCAGTCTGATTTGGTAGGTTTTGGGCTGGGCACAGTTTGCTAAGGATTCTGTTTCTATCTGTTGTAAAACTTGATGGTCTGCTGTGAAAAGAACAAGGCAGAAGGCTCTGGATTGGTCTTTTCCATGCCTTTCTCAACGACAATCCCTCCTTAGCAGTTACTTATATTACAACTTTTTGTTCGGACTATTGACATGTAGTGTCTGGAGAAGGAGGGCAACAAAGGAGCACTTCTCAGTTGTACAGTGGGCATTTCTAGACGCTGCTATCCATTACCTTCGACATCTGAAACAGATTTTAATATAAGCAACCAATTAATAATACGGGTGAGACTTAAGTTTCAGTGAAATTAAATCTGACACTTGTGTGCAGTAATGAGAGAAAATCCAGTGCATCTCAAACTGCTAAACTTGGCTTACTGTTTGAGAATCGTGACCTGGAATTGTTGAAATTCCAGCCTCCAAGATCAGAGTTGCTTTTACGTCCTCTTAAGAGGCTATCGAGATTCCACACTGTGTATGCTCTTTTCTCTGTACTTCCGGGGGTTGTATAAACCTGAGAAATTGAACAGTTCAATACCAGAGAGAATGCTGAAGACTTTGAAAGTTCTGCCAAAATGTTTATTTTCTATACACAAATCCGAATTTTTCTCTTTAGTGGCGATTTTAGACAACATTTACCTTCTTTCGGACTAAACTTTGAAACTGAATTGAAGTTTAAATGATTGCCTCTAGAATGATATAGACAGCTCAGGAAAAACACCACCAGAAGTTAAGAAATGGTGGATTTTTAAAGCAATAAGCTTAGATTTTGAACAAAATCATTCGACGCGAAAGCGCGGCTTTACGCGCGCCATTTAGCGCGAGTTTAATTGTCTGAAAGGGCTGACATTTCATATTTGACCAACAGAAAGACAATGTGACCGACATGAGATACTAAAACTCTTTCGATAGACTAAAACTCTTCTAGACTGTTCTTAATGGCGGGAGTTTATGAAATTTCAAGATTAAGGTCAAATCCAGACTATCTTAAGCTTTAGAAAATGTTAATGACGCGTAATGCGTATACAATTTGTACGCGTAAAAGGGTGTTGAAAACCAATAAATACTGGTGTCGTACACTGTCAGACACCTTACTTCTTGATAATATATGTATAGGTTCAATCTTATCAGCACTGATCTGTTGAACATAATCATTCATGACCCGTATCTAGAGACATATCTAGTTACATTTTGATATGGTTGGGATATCAGTTTCACTTTCAATTTATTAAAACCCACCTGAGTTGTAGAACAAGAAAGTGTAGAGGAAATCTTTTAGCTTGCTGTTTTTAAATGGAGGATATCTGACGTCGTTAGCGAACTCCATACCAGCGTTCCGGCAGTGCACAGATTTGTAGTTTGTGAAGCGTCCTGGAGGCCAAGTGTTTAGACTTGATTGTGAACAGTGATTGTGTGGATGAAAGGAGATGTTTGAAATAATATTTCACATTAATTTGTCTATTTCGATTACATTAGTCCAAATACCATGGCAAAGTATACTGGTTAAATTCTTGGACCGATGCCAGGACTCACCGTCTTTATTTTGGAAGGAGACATCCACTCCTCCAGGTTTCTGATGGTGTGGCCTATTTCATGGTCTGTGAAACGAATATCTGTGAAGTATAGTTCTTATTCTGGCTTCTTCCCGCTTCTTCATATCCTTAACCACTGCTTCCGCATCTAGTCAGTCCTGAGGATATTACTGGATAATGATCAAGTTTAGGAATAATTATTACTGTTCTGTAATCTGTTCACTGATCACTATTTTTATGATATAAATTAAAGTTGAATCAAGATCTTAGATGGTTGGTCTATGCAATCCTCTCTTATAATTGTATATTAATGTTAACTATGATCTCGCATTTATCAATTATCAGTATCACTAAGGTTACTGAAAAGGGGATAAGCACCTCAGGCTATCCCAACAATTGCGGGAGAGTATTCAGTACCCCATCATTATATCGCTCCATGTTACAAGGTGATATTTAGTTGTGTTAATGAAGTGAAAACATCATATGGGGTTGACGGTCTTTCACATATTACGTAATCAGCCGAGAGGGGGGGGGGTTTCCAAATGCTAACGGTTGATTACGGGGGGAGGGGGGGGGGGCGGGGGTAGCATGAAACATAGAGAAAAGTGGTTTTTTTAAATGTCAATGTATGATTGCGTAATATTTGAAAGATCACATGTAGTAATGTGAGTTAAAAAAATGAATGTGCAAACTTACTTATTGATATGAATCTATGAGATAAATCAGAAGTCACTCCTCCGTCCTTTCACGCCCAAACCCACCACCCAATTTTTAAATTTGTGTTATTTTTTAAACAAAACTCATGAATTATAGTCTAGGTTTTTTGAACTTATTATATTTAAATCTTGGCGACAGAATAATTTTGTAGAGCAATGTACATTATGTCATCAGCAAAGCAATTTTTTTGCCACCCCTTGAAAATTGAGTTTCTCTTTCAAAAATTCCATCCTAGGTTTTTAAACAAAATCCTATGCTTAGTTTATTAAGGCGAGTATCTTCAAAAAATTTAGCGTCACGTATAATTTTAGCTATCAAATCAGTGTGTAGTTTTGCACTTCCAAAAAATGTACTTTTCCATTCAAAAGTTGTATGAGTGTTGCATAGAAAATTAGAAGCTAACATTAGTCGCACTTTTTACCTTATGACAAGTACAAATATGAATCGCAATCAAATCAAGACTGAAGATAGGTAATTTTAGGCCTTCAAAGATAATATAATGTCATATAATATAAAGGCGAATATATAAACCCACATATCTCAATTTCTGATTGGAGAAAGAAGATCAATGCAACATGGGTATGAAAATTATCAGAATCATCACATTAAGGGGGTAGAACCTGGTTTCAAAGTCCTCACGCATAAGGTTGATGAGTTATGTGACCACGCCCTTCTACGCGTACGCTCTCGCGAGTAACAATTATCACACTTATTTCATGATATCTCAGCTTCTGATTAGAGTGAAGGGCTCATCTTGGGCATACAAATGGTCAGCAAGTTTTTCAAGCTTACAACAGAGTTTGTCACATTTGACATGTTAAGAGCCTATCAATAAAGAAATAATGATTATATATTTGACTTGCCACCAACATCGCACTGGCTAAGGGGACACATCCCCAAATAGGGCCACATCCCCAGATTACTGGTCTTTCATCCCCAGATTACTGGTCTTTCGACTTTCGTCAAAGACCAGTCCAATATGTTGGTCACATGTTTCTGTAAGAACAAAGATATCGACAACAGATGTGGCGGGAGATGTAAATTCTCAAAGAAAGGTGTGCTTAGCTATGCTTATTGTGTCTGCCAAAACTGATCTGTTGCAACACAGTCAAAGACAGATCAGGCCCACCTAACTCAACCTAACACTCTAAGAGAAAGCAGCCATTGAAACCTTCAAGAAATACACGTAAAAAGGCTAACAAAGACTAATTTCATATATTTCCTAAGAATATTTAGGTATTGATCAATCATTGCATATGAATAATGAACTGTTACTTAACTATCCCGTAAAAGGAAAATCTGACTATTTTATTTATTATCAAGGAAAAGTTTAATGCTATTCATCAAATAGATTAATGATTATCATCCTATATTGAGTTGTGATCTCATGTATCTATTTTACAAATTTATGTCAATTTACTACATAACAATAGATTAGTGATTAGCAGAACAGGCTTATTATTTGCAGATGACAGTGCACTATATTTTGATAATATCACTTGAGGCTCGTCTGACAATGTAGTAGAAGTAGTATAAAGATGTCATATGAATGGCTTAGAATTAACAAGCTGAGACGAAATGTTTCAAAATCCTCATTCATGGTATTCGACAAATGTCCTAATCTTGATAGACTGTCGATCCCTCTTGATTTGGAAGATGGCAGTCTTCACATAGAAGAAACCAAATACCAGAAATACCTAGGTCTGGTGATAGACAACCTATTAAACTTTCAGGACCATATTGATTATGTAAGATCATGTTACTAGGAGAATAGGAGCATTATAAAGGTTTTAAAAAACTACTTCCACAGAAATATAGAAAAATATTTGTAAACGCTCTTATGCTTCCTCAATTTGATTACATATATATATAGATATTATAGCTGATATTACATTTTGAATGCTTTCGACTAGTTTCTAGTACAATTGCAATTACAAAAAATTATTTTAATGCAGTCACTCAGATAAGTTTATAACAGGACATATCAACAAAGACACATACTCTGCCCATAATAAGGGGCCATAATTGTTTCAATTATGAAACTGTATAGAATTATTATTATTAATAGTGCAATCGCCCACAATTTAATACTCTGTACTCAGATTAAACTAACTCACCTAGCCAAAGGGATCGGAGAGGGCGAACAGAACTGTTGTATTATTATCCCATGACGTCAGAATGTAGTTCATCTTGAGAAGAAAACATTTCCACTACTCTTCATCACATTCTGAAAAATATTATTCATTGATTTATAGTATAATTACACAGCAGACTTCTGTTTTGATTTGAACGGGTCATGTTTCATGAGCAAATTAGGAGCCCTTACCACTGCCGTAGATCATAAGTCCATATTTTAGCAACCATATTTTGAGAATGATGCATCCTGGACGGCATTCTTTTTCAGATCAATTCACCTGGACAAAAATAATGATCGAGTAGTTACCCTGTCTTCACTGCAAAAATTATTCGATGTATGAAAGATTGTTATTATCACTTATCAAAGGAGATAGCTACAACAAATATCATCAAGTGTCTAGTACAATTGCAATTACAAAAAATTATTTTAATGCAGTCACTCAGATAAGTTTATACCAGGACATATCAACAAAGACACCTACTCTGCCCACAATAAAGGGCCATAATTGTTTCAATTATGAAACTGTATAGAATTATTATTATTAATAGTGCAATCGCCCACAATTTAATACTCTGTACTCAGATTAAACTAACTCACCTAGCCAAAGGGATCGGAGAGGGCGAACAGAACTGTTGTATTATTATCCCATGACGTCAGAATGTAGTTCATCTTGAGAAGAAAACATTTCCACTACTCTTCATCACATTCTGAAAAATATTATTCATTGATTTATAGTATAATTACACAGCAGACTTCTGTTTTGATTTGAACGGGTCATGTTTCATGAGCAAATTAGGAGCCCTTACCACTGCCGTAGATCATAAGTCCATATTTTAGCAACCATATTTTGAGAATGATGCATCCTGGACGGCATTCTTTTTCAGATCAATTCACCTGGACAAAAATAATGATCGAGTAGTTACCCTGTCTTCACTGCAAAAATTATTCGATGTATGAAAGATTGTTATTATCACTTATCAAAGGAGATAGCTACAACAAATATCATCAAGTGTCTAGTACAATTGCAATTACAAAAAATTATTTTAATGCAGTCACTCAGATAAGTTTATACCAGGACATATCAACAAAGACACCTACTCTGCCCACAATAAAGGGCCATAATTGTTTCAATTATGAAACTGTATAGAATTATTATTATTAATAGTGCAATCGCCCACAATTTAATACTCTGTACTCAGATTAAACTAACTCACCTAGCCAAAGGGATCGGAGAGGGCGAACAGAACTGTTGTATTATTATCCCATGACGTCAGAATGTAGTTCATCTTGAGAAGAAAACATTTCCACTACTCTTCATCACATTCTGAAAAATATTATTCATTGATTTATAGTATAATTACACAGCAGACTTCTGTTTTGATTTGAACGGGTCATGTTTCATGATCAAATTAGGAGCCCTTACCACTGCCGTAGATCATAAGTCCATATTTTAGCAACCATATTTTGAGAATGATGCATCCTGGACGGCATTCTTTTTCAGATCAATTCACCTGGACAAAAATAATGATCGAGTAGTTACCCTGTCTTCACTGCAAAAACTATTCGATGAATGAAAGATTGTTATTATCACTTATCAAAGGAGATAGCTACAACAAATATCATCAAGTGTCTAGACGAAAGGTCTTACCTCTTTTTTCTGGTTGCGGGTTGGTTGAACATTTTAAAGTCAGCGAGTGCCAGCGGTATCCAATTGCAATTGAACAATGTTAATGAAAGATACCAGCTTACGTGCATTACATGACTCAACAAACTGGTTACCTTAAACTCATTTTCGATACTCAAAACGAAAATATTTACTCCGCAAACATTTACAAAGTTTGCAATTTGGATAAAGCTTGGATGCGCGGCTTGACTACTTGACTAGAATTACATTTTAAAATAAAATTTCAAATGTCTTATTTCAATTTTTGGAATTTTTCCAATCAATGTTAATGACCAAAACTTTATTAAGCCTACCATATACTACTGTAGCGTAAGAATTATATTAATATATTAATCATGCCAATACCACAATTATCAATACTGAACGCGTAATATTTGTCAATAGCAAATAGAATAAACTACCGTCAATAATTACAAACAGTCGGCTCCATTAAATAAAACAGTATAATCGTTTATGAAATGGCCACTTGTATATTTGAATAACAATTATTGCCAAATTTGCAAAACTGAAGTTTAAATTAATAATGAAATATAATTTGAAATTAGTCGTTGTTGCATTGCGCGCGGCGCGAGTGACTGTTCGTTCAACACACTCACTGCTAATAATGTATGCGTCTAATGCATCATTAATGGAAGGCGCGCCGGTGTAATTTTTGCGCGCGAATTTACGATTTAAACGAAAAGAAACTGCAGGGAGGTGGCTGCATGTATTTCAACTCCAGTAAAAGGGACATTGAGAGCACGTGGTAGACCCTCAAAAGGCTCGAGAGGTTGCTCATTGCGAGTCAGCTGTTTTTCGAGATAGTCTCTAACAACAAAAGCTTTCATGTCGTCAGATGCAATCAAACAGCCATTTTCATCATGAACACCAATCGAGTTATTAGGTGGTTTGCTTTTCTGAAGATGTCTTACTGCTTCAAACATTTTCCTTGAATCGTTTGTGTTAGTAATATCACAAATAAAAAATTAAAATTAAAAAATAAAAAAATAAAAAATATAAAAAAAATAAAAAAATATCAAAAATATTAAAAAAAATAAAACTAAAAAAAAAATAAAAAAAAATAAAAAAAATGAAAAAAATAAAAATAAAAAAATAAAAAACTTTTTTAAAATTTTTTTTTTTAAAACTTTTTTTTGCGCGGCTTGTCCCAATTGAGTCAAGTTTATATATACTTGACTCAATTGGGACAAGCCGCGCAAAAAAGGGTTTTTTTTTAAAAACTTTTTTTAAAGAAAAAACTTTTTTTTGCGCGGCTTGTCCCAATTGAATCAAGTTTATACTCGCGTGCTGCGAGTATAAAAATTAGGTAAAATCAAGACCGAAAATCTTTACCCCCGTAGTGCATTTATGTTCCGGGGTAGGTGGAACATGTTTTGGTGGTTAAATTGTAAATAGTTAGTACTTGTCCCAAACCATCAGAAAAACCGAGTTTCGACCTCCCAACCCACTCAGGCCACTCCCAGGGGGCAGGGGCCACGCCCATCCCAAAATTACTGAAAATTAGGTAAAATCAAGACCGAAAATCTTTACCCCCGTAGTGCATTTATGTTCCAGGGTAAGTGGAACATGTTTTGGTGGTTAAATAGTTAGTACTTGTCCCAAACCATCAGAAAAACCGAGTTTCGACCTCCCAACCCACTCAGGCCACTCCCAGGGGCCACGCCCATCCCAAAATTACTGAAATCCAGGTAAAATCAAGACCAAAAATCTTTACCCCCGTAGTAGTAGTATATGATGCATTTTTCAATAGCCATTTTGGGAAAAAGTGGGGCACACATAATGAAAGTAAGCATATTACGTAATGTTACCGGCGGCGTCCTTGTAACTTGTGTGATATCATGTTCCATGTGGAAGCTATATTGGATGTAACTTGATTATTATGTCATGTTCATTGCTCACAGTACTTTTGTGATCTTATCTTGTCTCGATCTTACCAGATTAGAGCGGGCCACAGTTAAGTTATAATGTGCAATTATTAATGACGGGTATTATTATTAATGACGGGTATTATTATTATTAATAATGGGTATTATTAATAATGACGGGTATTATTATCAATGACGGGTATTATTATTAAGACGGGTATCATTATTAATGACGGGTATTATTATTATTAATGACGGTATCATTATTATTAATAATGACGGGTATTATTATTAATGACGGGTATTATTATTAATGACGGGTATTATTATCAATGACGGGTATTATTATTATTAATGACGGGTATTATTATTAATGACGGTATTATTAATAATGACGGGTATTATTATTAATGAATGGTATTATTATTATTAATGACGGGTATTATTATTATTAATGACGGCCACGGGTATTATTATTAATGACGGTATTGTTAATAATGACGGGTATTTTTATAAATGACGGGTATTATTGTTAATGACGGGTATTTTTATTATTAATGACGGGTATTATTATTTTAGTGACGGGTATTATTATTATTAATGACGGGTATTATTGTTAATGACGGGTATCATTATTAATGACGGGTATTATTATTATTAATGACGGTATCATTATTATTAATAATGACGGGTATTATTATTAATGACGGGCATCATTATTAATGACGGTATTGTTAATAATGACGGGTATTATTGTTAATGACGGGTATTATTATTATTAATGACGGGTATTATTATTATTAATGACGGGTATTATTGTACAAGTCACAAATAATAATAATAATAATAACCGTCACTAAAAATAATAATTCCCGTCATTAACAATAATACCCGTCATTAATAATAATACCCGTCATTATTAACAATACCGTCATTAATAATAGTACCCGTCATTAATTATAATACCCGTCATTAATAATAATACCCGTCATTAACAATAATACCCGTCATTAATAATAATAACCGTCACTAAAATAATAATACCCGTCATTAATAATAATAATACCCGTCATTAACAATAATACCCGTCATTTATAAAAAATACCCGTCATTATTAACAATACCGTCATTAATAATAGGGTAATATTATTAATGACGGGTATCATTATTAATGACGGGTATTATTATTAATGACGGTATTGTTAATAATGACGGGTATTATTGTTAATGACGGGTATTATTATTTTTAGTGACGGGTATTATTATTATTATTATTTGTGACTTGTACAATAATACCCGCCATTAATAACAATACCCGTCATTATTAACAATACCGTCATTAATAATGATACCCGTCATTAATAATAATACCCGTCATTATTAATAATAATGATACCGTCATTAATAATAATAATACCCGTCATTTATAAAAATACCCGTCATTATTAACAATACCGTCATTATTAACAATACCGTCATTAATAATAATACCCGTCATTAATAATAATAATACCCGTCATTAATAATAATAATACCATTCATTAATAATAATACCTGTCATTAATAATAATACCCGTCATTAATAATAATATCTGTCATTAATAATAATATTCGTCATTAATAATAATACCCGTCTTAATAATAATACCCGTCATTGATAATAATACCCGTCATTATTAATAATACCGTCATTAATAATAATACCCGTCATTAATAATAATAATACCCGTCATTAATAATAATACCCGTCATTAATAATAATACCCGTCATTATTAATAATAATGATACCGTCATTAATAATAATAATACCCGTCATTAATAATGATACCCGTCTTAATAATAATACCGTCATTGATAATAATACCCGTCATTATTAATAATACCCGTCATTATTAATAATACCCGTCATTATTAATAATACCCATTATTAATAATAATCCCCGTCATTAATAATAATACCCGTCATTAATAATGGCACATTATAACTTAACTGTGGCCCGCTCTAATCTGGTACGATCGAGACACGATAAGATCACAAAAGTACTGTGAGCAATGAACATGACATAATAATCAAGTTACATCCAATATAGCTTCCACATGGAACATGATATCACACAAGTTACAAGGACGCCGCCGGTAACATTACGTAATATGCTTACTTTCATTATGTGTGCCCCACTTTTTCCCAAAATGGCTATTGAAAAATGCATCATATACTACTCGTAGTGCATTTATGTTCCGGGGTAGGTGGAACATGTTTTGGTGGTTAAATTGTAAATAGTTAGTACTTGTCCCAAACCATCAGAAAAACCGAGTTTCGACCTCCCAACCCACTCAGGCCACTCCCAGGGGCCACGCCCATCCCAAAATTACTGAAATCCAGGTAAAATCAAGACCGAAAATCTTTACCCCCGTAGTGCATTTATGTTCGGGGTAGGTGGAACATGTTTTATTGGTTAAATAGTTAGTACTTGTCCCAAACCATCAGAAAAACCGAGTTTCGACCTCCCAACCCACTCAGGCCACTCCCAGGGTCCACGCCCATCCCAAAATTACTGAAATCCAGATAAAATCAAGACCGAAAATCTTTACCCCCGTAGTGCATTTATGTTCCGGGGTAGGTGGAACATGTTTTGGTGGTTGTTTGTTGTTGTTTGGGGACCGGTTTTTGGTACCCGGCCAATGTTTACAAAATAATATGATACATAACAATATAATTTTATTTAATATGCGTGAATATGAAAATTGAAAATTATTATGTAACCTTTTACGTTTATTCATTAAAAACAAAAACAAAAACAAAAACTTTAAAAATTAAAACTTGCATATCATGATTTATTAACATAGTGACAAATAATTTGATTTGATACGAAAGATGATCACACGCACTGTTTTATAAGCTACTTGTGTCAGATTACTGATTAGTGGGCAGTGTAGAGTCGATGGTATAGTACTCTGTATCAGTATAGTGCTCTTGATTGAGGTTAAAACAAAAAAGAATAACTGAGCCCAAAAAGAATAACTGAGCCCATGTCTTATCAGCACCTGCTAGCGCTATCTATATGATGCTATCAATATGACAGTGAATGGGCAGTGAAAAATGTGGCATATGGTTGATAGTGACTAGTGTGCTAACCGTCTAGTTTTATTTATTCCTTAGGTTATTCTCGGTAGTTGATTTGTTGTGTGCCTGATCTTGTCGATTTACGTAGC